CCTTCTCTCTCAGATATGGGACACTGCTGGTCAGGAGCGTTTTCGGAGTGTCACTCACGCTTACTATCGTGATGCTCACGGTAGGATTCCTCCATTTGTGTTTGTGAGAACCTCTTTGGTTGTGACTGACATGCCTTCTCTCCACTCTCTATTTTCTCCTGACACAGCCAGACTGTTCTGACAGACATTTCATTGCCTTTGTTTTCTTCAAATGTGTTACTGGCACCAGCAGGCACGCTGCTCCCTGTTGTTCCCTCATACCTGTTGGGATTGCAAAAACATGCATGTTGCTTTGATAGACTGTGGTGCGTGTAGGTGTGCATGCGTGTGTGTGTGTGTGTGGGTATGTGCATTTCCACCTGTATTTCTCACGTTGCCGGGACATGAACTTCCTTACTTCTTGGTACAAAAAGCAAGCCATTTTAACACAATTAATACACTTTGCCACAGAGACTTGGTTCTGTAAGTATTGGCTGAGTATTGGTAAGTGATGGAATCACAATACTCTTAGTTTGTGCATGTGTGTGTGTGTGGGCACACGCATTTGCCAGAGGCTCAATGCTGTGTGCAGGTTCTTTTAAGCGAGAGGCTAACCACTGGGTGGGAAAATGAGCCTGCCTCTCACACAGTGGGGAATCGGAGGGGGGGGGTATTGGGGAGCTCTGAGCTATTCCCACATGTGCTTGTGAGGGTGTATGTGTGTGTAGTAGTTATATCTCGAACAGCCCCGCTGAGTACTGATAACAGTTTGCCTCAGGCCAACCTGAATGAGCAGGTGTAGTCGAACACACACACACACACACACTTGCTGGCATTAACTGAAACGCGAAATCTGCTCAGCAGCATATAAAATAGCATCATGATGGGACATGGCTGAAAACGTGTACCCGATTGTGTCCGTTATGTATGGATGTGCGCTTGGCTTTGATGAGGTTTGCATGTGTTATACATAAGTACGTGTGTGTGTGTGTATGATGGCCAGTTGCCCAGCATCATTCTGATCTGTCAGTGCAACAGTTTAGCCTCACTGATCTTTAACAAGGCACCAAGGGAACCTCAAACCAGCTCCTCTGAGTTGTCCGTCTGTTGCTGACTTTTAAATAAAGCTCATTCGCTCTGACAGACAGGACCAGGGGAGGGAATCCAGCCCAAATGCAGCCGTCACGAAAGCTGTCTGCTACTGTGAACTAATGGACAGTTTTTCGTGACTCAGACTTTGAAATGTAGAGATCCCACAGTCAGGGGTCTCGTTTCCATTTCTGAGCACCGCCAGGTAAAAGTGAGGAAGTCCAAAGTGTGGAAATAGTAAACAGATTTAAGTCAGTAGTTTAAAATCTGCAATTTTAATTACAGTTAAAGTCTCACAGTCCTGTCAAGGAAGATAAAGTTTCACTGCTTATACTTCTTTATTATTTTCTTTTATCTCTACATGGATGATTAGCTGAGTGCATATGCTCTCTGTCAAGCTCATTACTGGTTACTGATTCGATGTCTTTGGAGCTCTTCACTATAGCCCGTGCTCTCTGTCACTGATCTGCTCCACCGCCATCTGCTGTATTGTGCACATAAGGTAGTATGCTGAAAAGCGTCTACATGAAAATGTCACGGCTTGCCAGATCAGACAACAGACTTCACACTGCTGGTTGTGTCGCTACACAACACACAATGAGTCATAACTCATCTCCCCTCCTGCTTGTATTTGTTGGTGACTGACACATAGCCAACCTTGTGATACTTTACAAGGCACACTTGGTATAATAAGATAACAACGAAAACTTGACTGCAAAGATGGAAACCAGTCATACAAAGCAGGCAGTTGCACTTTATATTTGTATTTAATAGTGCTGTCAATAAATGAAAAACAAAACAAAACTAATTAAATTCACAGTTGTCTGTAATTAATCGCGATTAAT